TTTTTTTTTTTTTAATAGTTGCCACTACCGTCCACCACCCCTACTATTTCCAATACCTCTATCACTCAGACCACCCCGCTACGAGTCTTACCACAGTTACCGCAACTACTATTTTCTTTGCCTTGACGCTGCCACAAAGGTGGATTTCTACTTTGCTTAGCCCAAAGAAACCCGAAACCACTGAAACGCAAAGACAACCGCAGAAAAGTCACTATTATAGTTCCTCTCTCCTCCTACTTCTCCTTCGTTAAGTGGGATGCCTTTTCCGGAAGAACGCCTAAAGAAACCCTAAAGACAAGAAACCGATCCCAAAGAAATCCGAATCCAGTGAAGCTAAAGACAACCGCAAAGAAGTCCCTAGTAAGTGGAACACCTTTTCTGTTCCCTCCCCTTGTTACTGTCACGCTGGCTTTGGTGCTTCGTCCCCTGCCCTTTCTGCTGCTCCTAGTGCTTGTAAAGCACTCCCAGCAGAAGCAAAAGCAAAAACAGTAGGGGAAAAAAGTAAAAAATATTGAAAAATATGAAATAAATTCCCGGAAAACATATCCATCCTTTGTTGAAATGCATGCACTGCAAGTCCCTGTTGGTGTATGTGTGCTCATTCTTGAGAGGAAAAGATGTCCAGTCGTGATGAACAGGGGGGGCGGCATGAGGCCAGATTTGGTGTTGTAAGGAGTTGGGCGTCGGGATTGCGTTTGTTAAACAAACATGGATCACATTCCAGCCAGGTACACTGGGTGGGAAAGAGAATCTCCAATGACTGAAACCCCGAAAATGTTTCACTCACCGCCCATCACTGAACATCTCAAGGCCTGCGGATGGCGGTCTATACTGAAACTCATCCAAACTTCTTGGGATCTTAAGACCAGTTCCTAGGACCTCAAAACCCCCAAGTGATTGGATCGTGCGAAAGAGCGTTGCTTGAGATGAGCTTCTCAGCCACGCGTGTTGCGTGGAGGATTTCATCTTGGAGCCCGAGTTGAGGAACCTCATGGACGGCTCTTGGCCTTGCCCCCCGGGCTTCACAAGCATCGAAGGGCGGGTTCACTGAGGGAAGAGAACGACAGAGCTCGGAGTCCGACAGCTAGTCATGCACTGCCGCAGCCGCGCCGGAACTTGAAGGAGCAAGGTGTGCATGGTCGTTTCTGGCTGGCGCTAGGTGTTTTTAAGGATCCCCTTCTGGCGGCCAAGAATGTCACCTCCGAAATGGCCAAAGTGCTTTCAGGGGGGAACAGGCGGGTAGTGGATCCAGCAATCCCACCCATGTGGCTGGCAAAGAACATCCAAATAACACCTGCCTTTATACCTTTTTGGCCTAAAGGACCAACGGATCACCTGCAAAACCTCTGAAGGGATTGGTATGGATTGGTTTTCCCCACTCAACAAGGACAGGTGAACCTTGGTGAACCTTCAGCTTTCCAGGGATTTCGCGAGGACCCACGGCCAGTCATGGCCCGATCCGAGATCCGAGATCCATTGGCCTCAGGGCCTTTTACTTCCTTTACTTCCTTGGTTGAGAGAAAAACCAAGGAACAGGCTGTCAAGTGAAGGAAGTAGAAGACCTTAGGTGAACAACCAAGGTTTGCTAAAGTTGTAACATTTATGTTTGCGAGATGGGCAAAGGCAAGACCAAGAGACAGGCAAATGATTTTTCTGGGGCAGGCATTTCTTAGGTGAACAACCACGAGGCCTATGGAGACAAACAGAAACAGCATCACCAACACGCTCCGAAGCTGGTTGATTTGACCTACCTTGGGGGGTCCAAAACGTCCCTCCGGGTCACAACGTTTTTAGTGGTGCGCCCTTTGAAACATGAGGAAGTCTCCCAAATAACAAAAAAAACAAAAAACCAAAAGGTTTTTGGTGGTTTTTGGATGGTTCTAGGACGAAGTCTTTGGGTCACACCATCCACATCCACACCCCTTTTTCGTGGCATCCGACTCCGAGGCACCTCCCTGGCCGAGGACGAGGACGGCACTGCCGTCCTGGCGGAGGCGGCGCGGAGGAGTTTGCACTTGCTGCACGCCGACACGCGCGGAGGCCCGAGAAGGAGCAGCAGAGTGGAGGGGGAGATGGACGGATGGAGAAAGACTCCAATACTGACCAGCTCTACCCAGCTGGCTTGCCAGCTCATCGAGGATATATAGATGATGAAATCCACCTGAGTCTACCTGTCTTCCCCGGCCATTCTAGAGCCCTTCCTTTTAAGTGGCTGGCCGTTCACCCTCCACATGAACACACTAAGAAGTCGCCAGATGATCAGGAGGCGCATCGATGATCACATAAACTCTGAGGCCAGGTGAATCAATAAATGTGCACATCATTGTCATCCCTGGTTTCACATGATTCTACACGTCAATGTTCACATGGAAGCACTCCAGCACTCCTCATTGAATCAGATGCTTTTTGTTTACTGTAAAGAGGACGTTGGGCTCCCAAAAGCCGCTTAAAAAGCCACGAACCGAGGCAGAAGCGGCTACTGGAAGTGCTGCAAGAAGGCAGGTGTCAGGGATCAAAGCTCATTTCTGGACGCGCCCAAGTCATTGAAGAAGGTTCAAGACGATGGACTTGGGTAGGTTGAAGGACAAGTTGTAGGTGATGTAATGGCTGTGTCAATGTCCTTGAAAGAAGCGTTTGTGAGCCATTTGAGAGTCGCACATCTTCACCACCCTTGTGGCTGCCGGGGTCTTGACCGGTTTGGACCCTCGCAGCGTGCGGGTCGCGCGGGGAGGTTCGACTCGAGCGGGGCGCGCAGGCAAGCTGACCTGCCTGGCCAGGGTCGCTCAGAGAGGAGACTGAACGGGAAGAGGAATGGGAAGATGGTGGTCGGCTGGCGAGCCGAGGAACGATTTCAAGAACCAACGCAGTGGGTTTAAAGAGTTGCTCGGGTAACCCGACAGAATCTTCCAGGGTCTAATTGGTTTGAGTTTGAAGAGGTTACCCTACTAACATCGTGGTTGAATTGTTGGTATACTCCTCGCATTTCACGGGGGGTTCGGGGTGCAATTGATTGCTATGTTATTCCCTGGTTTTGTAGATGTTTTATTAACCACAAATAGCTTCACACTTGCAATACATAGGTGCTGTTGAGAGAGATGGAGGCGCGCACACACAGATTCACAGACTTCTGTAACAACATCATCATCTTTTGGTGCAGTTTGTGACCTTGTGTCAGTGACTAAGGAGATAGCATAGAGGATAGCATAGAGATACATAGAACGTTCTTGGCTTTCCACGCAGTAACTCGTCTCCAGGGTTCACCGGCTTCGAGCCGAATCTTGCTGCCCAGAGGCTCAGTTGTGTTCGCCGGATTCGTTGGCGGTCCGGCGATCCGCCACGAAGAGCTGGACCTACAAGACATGGTCGGTGGGTCCAGGGTTGCCTTTGGGTGGACTCTGTAAAACAGGACCCAGGGCGAACGTTCCCTCCTTTTTCGCACACAGACTTCAAACCACTGAACCGCTGATGTAGCTAGCTTAGAACTGGGTGCGTCCGAGGGTGCTACGGATAGGCTCAGATAGACTCATGGGGTTTGTTTGAGGTGATTTGGGTGAATATGGATTCCTATACCATCCAGACCTATACCCTATGGCCCCTAGCTGTCCCCAGACCATTACAAGAAAGGTTTGACCTGGATTTGTAGTCCAAAAAATCAGTAGAACGAACAGTGATTGTGAAAAAAACCACTGGCTGTTGGACTCCCAAGCAAAACACAGTCACAAGCATCCACCGTGTCTAAGAAGAACAACCAGCACCTGCTCTACGCGTCTTGGAGCACCTGCTCTACGTCGTTCCACTGACCGAGGTCGACGGTCCCAACATCGGCTACCGCGGCGCCGTGCAGCGGCGCCGCCGGGCAGAGGGGCCACGGGAAGGCGGACGAATGCGGAGGAGAGAAGAGGATGACAGTGGTTCCACTTCCGCATGTGTTTTGGCTCAACTCCAGTTGCTCCATGTGAAGCTGGGCGTCAAAGAGGTAAGTGACCTGAAAAGGCATGTCCTGACAAACTGAGTATAATTTGGGTCTTATAAATGATTTTACATGTTTTTTTAGCGCTTTAAGGCAGACGTTCTTTTTCCCGGTTCGACTATAAGGGCGAAGGCGCCAGAGTTGGAACATATATTATTATATACCTACTACTATAACTGCTTACTCTTAAATATATACTCTTGAAGCCTTTTAAATAAGCCGTTTTTTGGGCAGACCCTGCCAGGTAGTGGGGCCAAAAATTACCGTGCAGATGAAGAAGAGGCGAGAGGGATGTTTCTAGGTCGTTTCAGTTGTTGGCAGATCTGCGAAGATGATCCCCGCAGCTTGGAACACTTGGAACGCGGCACGTGACACTGCCCAGTCCTTATAGTCAGTGTGCAACATCCATCACCGCTCAAAGACATAGGGAGACCGACAGACGACGTTCCGAACCTGCTGGAAGAGTCGGAAAAAATCAACCAGTCTACCCATTTGTTTCTTTCGGAGTCTCCCTATTAAAATACACATCCATTTCACGTGCAGAGCAGTGCAACTACCAAGCTGTCACTGCCCGCTGCAGCGCAGTTTCAAGCGCATCGAGTTGCAACAATATTTGGCACTGCTGTGTCGGCTCCTGTTTTGATCTGTTTTGTCGTTTGGTGGATGTTGTGTTTTTCGCCCTATACTGTACTTGTGTGGTTGGTGGTGAACTGAACTGCAACACTTGCAGGAGCTTGCAGCTTTGCCCCTTTTCCCACACCCTTTGTAATAGGAAGCCTTGACCAGTTCGTTCGCCTTGGCCGGGACGCTCACTCCTTTCGAGATAGACCCTATTCTCAGAAACTCTTGACTCACTCAATGTCACACAACTGTTCATAAAGGCCTTATATATAGAAGTCCGAAGGCATTTTTTTGGGGGACCACCAAAGCACATGAAGTCCTCGGATCGGATCATCTAGTCAAAAACCTACGAAAGTAGTTGTACAAACAGTCCTTCCAGGGTATACCACAACCCTTGTTGTGGAAGACAACCGTGTTTTGGGGGACTGATGGTCGGACGCCGGAGCCCTTGGAGCCTTCCCCCAGACCTGGAAGCTTCAAAGAGCACACCTGCAGGTGGTGGAGAATCTCCATGCACCTTACTTCCGTCATGATCAGATCCATCAGACTTTGGAGCAGTTCCTTGGACTGCACGACATCGCGAGACCCTCCCAACCAGACCCCCTGGCTTTGGAGCGGACCAAGCCCGTTCCTGCACGTATTGCATGGGCGGTGTGTGTGTGTGTGTGTGTGTGTCTCGGAATACGCTGAGCCGAGGATAGCGGGTAGCCATGGAGTGCCATTTGTGCCAAAATTTGAAACATAACAACACTTGCATGCAAAGGCCTTCTAACTGATTGCCGCATTGCCTACTGATTTTGTTCATTTGTTGGGTGTGTTTGACATTTAAATCCTTGAGAATTTCCTTTGTTGTTGTGCCCCTGCACTGACTCTCCTGCTCTTTTTGAGGCTCCGCTCCCAGAACCATTGGCCCTTGCTGGTGATGCCCTGTCGCTACGTGCAGAGCCAAGTCGGACTGAAGGATTCGCTACGTGCGGAGCGACAAGTGTTTTCACCAGATGGATGCCGGGCCGTCTAGGGCCCTGGGGGCAGAGGCTGAGTTCGTTCCGAACTCATGCTTCCTACAGCGGTCCTGCCATGATCTGCCATGCACAAAGGCATGGAGAAATGATGAAGGCCATTGGAGGTCCAGGGTTTTGCAATCTTGGCGTCCAAAGGCATGGAGAACGAAACGGTTTCTATCAGTTTGATCAGGTTCACCAATCCATGGCCAGGCCATCCATGTATGAAATAGATTGAAATAGTTGCATGCATGATCATACATGGACCCCATGAACATGACCCATCCATGTAGGTATAACTACTGGGTCTATTCCAGTCCCATGGATGGTTTGGGATTGCTACCCCCCTTTCAAGACCGCTATCTCCCGGTTGATTCTTCTCTAAGACATGCCTTGGGTCTTCCAGCTGCTCGCGTGAACGGCCAAGGCCTTTGCCGGAGGTCCAGCAGATGGAGATGCTTCGGTGCGTCGGGAAGTGGATTGAATCGAGCGCGGAGATGTGGGGTCCAGAGTAAACGTGCACCCTACTAGGTAGGTGGTTTAAGTCGCCTGGGCTGGACTGAAGTCGTTTAGAAACACTGTGCCCATGCAGTCTATGTAGCCAAGAGAAAACCCCAAAAAGGGAAAAAGAACATCACCCCCAATCACCCCTCGCTGTGGTTTCAAGTTTGCACACCCGTCTTCAGGCTGTTTCATAGCATCGTTTCACTCTCATCACGTGGGATGAATTTTCTCCCCCATGATATTGATCCCCTCACGAGTCTCTCGGAAGAGTTTGGTACCCCGTATCCCGAGCGCTCGAGTTTATACCGAGATCCACCAGAGTTACAGTGTACCGCAAATCCCATTGACCCAGAACTTCTTAGTGACCTTCTACGGATCTCAGTGACCTCATGCTCATATATTTCTCAAGCTCACTTGGAAGGTGGCAGTCCAAGAGCGCGATCCCAGCCAGGTGCAACGCCCCTTGACTCCGCTCAACGACTGGGTCACTCGCTGGATGTAGGCGCCTGAGTTGGAGAAGACTAAGACTTCCCCTTGTGTTGCATTTTTGCTAATCTGGGGCATCACGACCCAGCATGGCAAATCAAAACCCCACATCCAGCAGTCGACATGTTCATAGAGGCCACCAGCTGTGGCAAAAGCACCTGCTGTTGGAAGATCCAAGAACAGCCGAGACACACGGAACCCCGTTACGTGGCATGGCATGGCCCGAAAGGATGACCATGAGGATGACCATGTCCCCAACACCAAACAGAGGGTTTTTTTCCATGTTTTCCACTTGAAGGCTACCGGCTAGAGCGACGGCTGCTTGAAGGTCAAAGGTCAATTTGTCCACTTCCATGATCATTTCAGGGAGTGTCATGTCTTGTTTTTTTGTGCGATACGCATCGATACGCTGCAGTTGGTCTTGCAGGTACCGCGAAACAGGTGCAGGCTTGAAAGCAGATTGAGAGGGACACTGCTTGGCATGGATGGACGGTAATTTCATGGGTTCCAAAAAACGGTGTTGGTCAATGAGTGCAGTGTATGCACGTCATGGATGAAACATGCTGCTGCTAAAGCATGAGCTACTGAACCTTGGACCTCCCTCCGAAAACCCTTGCCTTCAAAGACCATAAAAGAAAGGTTGATTTGGTTGTTTAGAGTGCTATAGCGAAACCATGGCAACAACAACCACCACAACAACCACAACCACAACAACAACCAAAGCAACCACAACCACAACCGCAACAACAACACAAGGTAACAAGGTAACAGGTACAAACAAAACCTGTAGCCCCGTCAAAACACTATACACATGTCCTTACTTTGTGTCTACCGCCTCCTAGGAAACAGGACTGCAGCCCCGTTGTTGTTTTTTGACCCCCGCCCCCCAGAACAACACCTCGGAAACACTTAATACAAACGGACCAACCCAGACTTCATCAGTGAAGTCCAACAAGTGCCGGCACTACGACATTCCCTCATTCCCTCGAAACCTTCAACCGTTTCCCTGGCCTTGTCCCGAGTTGCCACATGTGACCCACCACACTCCCCGCCATGTCGTGCCCCTAGGTCAGAGGGATGCCTTTTCGTGACCCGCGACGATGAACCCGACGACGCGGTCGGGCGTCGCATCGGTTGGTGGGGAGTCGCATCGACCCTGGTCGAGCCTGTTGGGTTACAACATGTTGCCCTGTTGGGTTCAATTCAATTCTCAGTTTAAGCAACTGAAAGGCCATTGTTTTAATATGCTTTCATGGGTTTCACCGAAGAACCGTGGTTTCACCAAGGACTTGTGGCTAAGGTTGATCAGATCAACCTTTCTTTTCATGGTCTTTGGAAGGCTAGGGCGTAGGGAATGCATGTTCTCCCCAATTCGCCTCAAAAAGGCCAATTAGTATCCGTCCCTTCCGTGGCACACTTGGAAGAACGTAGCTTTCTTGCTAATGGTTCTTGGAGGCAGATGGTGTATGGAGTAATTACATGCATTAACCTCCTAAACCACCCCAATGTTGGCAAATATGCCAGTCCCATGCCAGTCGCCCATTCGTCGTTGACGCCGCCAGTCCCGGCACATGCGAGCAACCGGAATGAACACCTGCAGTCTTGCTTTTGGGAGAGGTGGGAAAGGAATGGGTGAATCATGGGGTTTTGGACACGCAGACCACCAGACGTTCGATGGAAATCGGGGTTAGGAGAAGCCCCCAGGTTTGGATCCATGCTACCTTGGCCTCCTTCAAGGCCTGGATTGCCCGAGCTCGTGCTAGTCTCGGACCGGGAATTTGATGTGAAAAAGGAATTCCCCTAAGTAATTGGGTATTTGGCATATGGTATGGCCAGTTACATTAAGGATGTTGGACTTCCAAGTTTAAATTGTTTGCTTCATTGTGTTGTTCTAAAGTTTGGGAGGTCTTTGGAAGAGAACTCTTGGCTCCTTGGGGTGCCTTCTTTGTGGACCGGGTTTCTTCCGCACCACCGGTGTCCGGTCAAGCGGATCAAGCAGCGGGTCAAGTGGGGAATCTTTCAGAGTTTGGGCGGTCACAGCCAGCGCAGCATGGTTTTGCTTAAGGTGCTTAAGTGACTTTTTCCGGTGCTTACCCACTTCTATACAGAAGATTGTTTTTAGTTCCCCATTCCCTAAGCAAATCCAAGGAAGAGACCTGCGAGTGGCAGGGCACGTGGCTAGTGAGACGTGAAAGTGGGGAAGTGAGGGAATGAAAAACGCCACCGGAAACCGGGTAAACCGTAAAAGGGACCACCGTGCCATCCAAATGCCATAGATCACTATAACCTGCCAGCCATGCCAGCAACGGCGGAGCAGTCCGCCGGTCCGCCCAGAGGCCGCGGACGCAGTGGAGGGCCCCACCTTTGTGGTCACCCGAGACCAGGCCGAGTGACGCAGCGGCGGGGTGCCAAATGGGCTGAGTCTTGGAACATGTGCTGAGCAGAGAAAAGAAGATGAAGAAGAGGAAAGGAGGTGTTTTTGTCCCTGGGCACGTCTTGAAGGTTCCGAACCTAAAAGAGAACGCGCTCGATGTTCGGCATGCCATGAATGCCATGTTTCAGGGTCCTCCAGGGCGAACACGGAAAAAAGCAGCGAAGCAGAAGCTTTGGACTTTGCCGTCAACGCTCATAGACTCTACTTTGCAGCGTTGCTTGATACCCTTGGGGTCGGTTTTGTGTGACATGACATGAAGAGTGTGCGAACACTTCCTCATCATCGGTTTGGTGATGTTTGCACTGCATCGGTCAATCTCACGCGCTGGGTGTTCAATGGTTTGCATCAAAAGCAGTGCCATTGAGTGGCGTTTTCCGTGCGATGATTGATCCCACGGGCCGTCCCACGGGCGCCAGCAGCGTTTTCACTGCGTGAGGCGCTGAACCATCGTTCCAGCATTTGGGGAATCCGCTTCAATGAAGGTGACCGTGAGGAGCCCAGTGTCAGCTGCAGGGGAGGGCGGAATTGGGTGTCAAATTAAGTTTACAGCTGTTGGTGAGGCAGGGGTTCCTTCAGCATGATTTACACAAAAATGGTGGTCACTTTGTGGGAAGCGTGATATCAACATGTTGCAGAAGAGTTTTCATGTTTGAGGTGGTCTTCAAGCACAGTTGAATCCATGCAAATTCATGTTGGTTTGCTTGAGGTGGGTCTCATTTGGCCCCAAGATGCCCACGCGTTTTGGTGCTCAATTCCTGAACTTGATTTGGGGGAACATGTCGTGAACAGCTTCTTGAACATGCCCATCATGGCACTGCTGCACGGTATAAGTAAGTCATTGCCCACTGTTGGTTGATGTGGCAAGTATGTACTGTAAAGAGAAGAGTATGTGTGCTTGTTTTGCCGTCTGGAGGTTTCTTCTTCTTGGTACAGAAAAGCCGGCACCTGGTAGAACAAACGTTAGGGGGGTGTCAAGCAACATCTACGCATCATTGCGAGGTCTTGCCATGGCTGCCAAAGCATTTTTGTGTTGGCTTCTCATTTAAGCTGGGTCAAGCTGGAAGTCGGCATGAGTCAGCTATTGTCCTCACTTGAGAGGCCAGGGCCGCCCAAAATCCCTTGTGGGGTGTCTCGTGGTGTCTCTCGCGTGTTTTTTCTTTAGCTTTAGAAAAAAACATCTCATTCCCTCAAATGATCTCCATCTCCGCCCTTTCCATGTGTATCATGCGTCCCCCGAGTCTCAAGAACATCAAACATGAGGTGCCCGCAGTGCTTGTGACCGCCTTGCGGTGTCAGGTGCTGTGGCACTTGAACGCTGTTGGCGTCGATGGAGCGTGTCTCGACACCCGTCGATGGGCAGACTTTGGAAGGAAGTCTCCACAGAGATTCGGTTTGAAGGATGGATCTTCATAAGAGCCTTCTAGGTGCCCTTCTAGGAGCCCTTCTAGGTGCCCTATATAAAATAGGAGCCCTTCCTTCGGTGCCTTTGTGGAAGCTGCTCCTTCCACCATCATGCGCTCTGAGCCAGACCTTCCACCCTAAAAGAAGCATCATAGACCGAGCCGATACCTAAACAAAAGGTATGCCACACATCCAGCACCCGAGGCCCGGCACCTGCGCTGGTTCGCCCGGGGCCCACGACTGTCGTGGTGTGGGTCAGAGATGGTTTGCTCTACAAATCCCTGGGAAAACATGCAGAACTATGCTTCTTTTTTTAGACAATTCCATACAATTCCTAAAACAAAACTGCTGCAGTTAAAAACATATTTCAAAACATGCGGAGTTGAGGCTCAGACCTCAGGAATGACCACGGTGGGACAAAAACACATGGTGTATGATGGGGGCAGCAGGAACCTGCGGCTTCCTTCTCTCCGCGCGCCGCGGGGCGCTGCGCGGTGTGGAGGCGATCTCTTGGGCTGACTGCGATCACTTCTCCGAGGACGGCTCCCGCCGTGCATGGATGGGCGGACGGCTCCACGCACCGCGCGTCGACGGATGGGGCGGACCGTCGTGCCGACGGCGGCCTCCCAGAGGAGCAAGTCGATGGATGGGTTGGATGGGCTGTTAGTGCATACAATGCACGGTGTTCGAAAAGATTTGGGGAGTAGATCGGGGTTTGGTGGATTCGTGAGAAGTGTGGGATTGTGGATTCTGATCCTTGAAGTGGAGGATTTGTGTGGATCATGCCCCATGCCCCATGCAGTGGATCCAAGATATACCACTTGAAGCACATCAGTTTCAGAGGGTCCTAACGACTCTTGCCTTGTTTCCTGCATGGAATATCTCCCGTGACTCAGGAGTGCTTTTGAAGGCATTAATCGCAGAAAAGAGCCAACGAACTGCATAGTTCTTCAAAGTGAGCCTTTTGGAGTCCCTGTTTGTGTGACCTTTTACTCAGGCCTGTTTGTGACCTCAAACCAGGAGATCAAAATGTCACGTTTAGAAAACAAGGTGCCACTCTCCAAACTTGTTGCACATGTCTTGCAGAAACAGCACAGGATCAGGGTCAGGGTCTTCACGCTATACAAGTGTTGGTGGTTTCTCTTGAGGTGTTTTCCGCTGACAGGACGGGGGGAAGCCGCTGGCCATGGTACCTTACCTCCAGTGCCAGGAGGTGACTATGACCATTGACGAGCTTGGGCCTGAGCAGAAGCGGCGGTTAGCGGCGCCAGCCTGCGGCAAAAATATACAGGAGTCGCAACATGACACAACTGTACCATCTGTACCTGAGCTATCTTACTACCAGCACCTTCCAAAATATAAAGTTGATGAAAGTTGTGGGATTTTGAAAAGAACTTTGATTTTGCCACCAACACTCCGGGCTTCTCAAACGCCATCCGCAAAAAGTGCTGTTTTTTGTGGGTAAATGACGGCTTTTTCACGGACAACGTTTAGACCCGTATACTTGGCTTGCGACAATTACTGGAAAAGCTTGGTGTAATACAAGCTGACGCCTCCTCCTCAAGTTGCTTGACCTCTCACACAGGTCCGCATCAAGAGAAGTTGCTGTCCAAATTTGGTGAATCAGGCCTGACTGCCACCATCCCAGGGGCCCCACTCATTGCTTGGTCGTGCTTTCACATTGGATTTCGAGAGTCAGAGTCAAAGGGGGGTCAACATGGTTAAGAACCATGGCAGTGGCGCGATGTGGAGGATCCAACTGTAACTAAATTCCTTGTTCAATCTTTTTAGGCATCCTAAAGCTCGTCCTGAACTTCTGGAGCTCGCAGTTGTTCAACCTTCAACAATGATGCAAACATATATGCAAACATCACAATGCCTATAGAGACAGACAGACAGACGGAGACAGAGACAGACAGACAGAAAGACAGAGAGAGAAAGAGAGAAAGAAACAAAGACATACATAATGAACATAAATGAAAAGACAGACAAGAGAAATATAAATAAATAATCACATATGTCAGGATGAACTTCTCAGAAACACGCCTCCAAAAATCTCAAGACCTGCCACCCAAGGCGGCCTTCCGTGGCGGTCGAGATACATCACGTGGGCCTTGACACCTGGTGCTCCGCGTTGGTTCGTTGGTCAGCGCCCTGCAATGCCATAGACTGATGTAGATGGCTTGACCTGCTCTTGGGTCGGTGGATTTACTAGATGGGACACCCACAAGATCCCACAAGGCACCAAGCTGACCCCTGGCACCAAGCTGACCCTCCAACAGTTATGTACATGGCACCAAGCTGACCCCTGCGACATTGCCGAAAGGATATGATTGTCGTATAGTATACTCATGTTGAATGTTCGACCAAATTTTGATGTCACTGCGGCAGCTTCTGCTGCAGACAAGCCTGCAGAGTCGCCAGTGCCTGATGAGGTTGCAGTTGAGAACTGGTGCCACCTGGGATTTGCTGATCAGAGGTATACACATGGGGTTGAGAATCCGCTCAGAGGATTTGTTCTTTTTTGTTTGTTTTTTAAAATGTTTCTTTTGGTGGCAGCATTGGTTTTAAATAGTTTCAACATCAGATCTCAGATATCTCATTGCATTTGTTCATGTGTGGGTCTTGGAGCCCATCTCCACAGATGTTTGACACCACATGGGATCATTCAAGAAGCCCATTTCCGGAGCCTCAACAACAACTGCAGACATCCATTCCTCCCGGAATCCCATTGTCTTGGCAAGAGTTCTCATGAGTCCATTCACTTAAGTCGTGGACGCGTTGCGAATGGGCCGCCCTTGGGGCAGTCAGGTGTGGTGGCAAGACCCGGTCCAATCCCTGACATCATCGTATAGATTCGTGGAGTGAAAACCACCCGTTGAAGTCTTCGGAACATGGTCATCCAAGAGGTTTCATGCCGTTCGCATTGGGCCCATGATAATATGCCGGTGCGAGGCATTGACCAGTCCGCATGGCATCTCGGAGGGGTGAGTGCCGGCCGTGAGGGGCGACATGTTGGCTCGCCCACCAGACACGTACCTTTCGAGGTGGCTACAGCGGCTACAGGACGAAGCATGCTTGAACATGGCCCTGAAGTGATGTTTGGTGCGTGCTAAGAGAAGGGTGGACTCGATATGGAACATTGGGAAACGGAGACAAACACCGCAAACACGCCATAAAAGACTCAGACCAAGTACTCATACAATGTCACAGAGGATATGAAGGTACTACTCAGCATCAATCTGCACATTTACAAAGCCCATCAATTATCATGTCATTTAAGTGGTGTATACAGGTCCAACACGCCGCCAACCATGGCGGAACGGACGTGTTTGACGATCCCCGCTGGGCAGAGGCGCGCTTCCGTTGCGCCGTTGGTCTTCCTTGAAAAAGGGGTGGCTAACCCTGAACATCACGGAGAAGAACCACACAACTGTAGGTGAATGGCATCACTTTGATCCATCACCACTATAATTTTTATCCATCACCACTATAATAAGAAACAACCACGAGTTGACTGAGCTGACTAGTACTTGCTTGGCCGGATCGGCGGACCGGCCCGTCCTTGGGGTTGCTTCGGTGTTCCGCGGATTCCCGTGGTCCGTGCGGCCGATCCGTTGGATTGTGGATGGCGCTCTGAGGTCGGAAGACCATGAAATCCGAAGACCAAACAGGGGGTTGTCCACCAACAGAGGTTAAGTGACCTTATAGGACCCTACTGGGGTACCTATAGGATAGCCTATAGGGTTCTTCAACCTCTGCTGGCACGAAACCATGTTAGTTGCAGGGAGAGTATACTTCATGCCAGCCACTGGGCCCCTTTTGGCGTTCCAAACTTCTTAAGGGTTGCTTCTTGGTTTGAGCCGGGGGCCAGGTGCGGGGCCGAGCCAGGTTGACCCACAGCTTGCCCTGCAAGTGGGAAGAAGGAGAGACTTGGCCGATTTTGGAGCTGTAGACTCTTGATTCTTAGACCCTCCCAAATTGGATTGGAAAATGTAACTTACATTTCTGTTGATAATAGCCCCAAAATGTAAAATTTACATTTTCAGGCACCCCCTCCCAGAAAATGTAAGTTACATTTTTGGTGGTCCCCCCCTCCTAAGGTGTAGGGATATTGGAAACTCTCTTCAGGGCCTCGGGAGGTGAATCAACAGTCTTCATGTGGGCTGAGAAGGCTTTCACAAATTGGATGGGAGATTGGACACAGGTCCGAGAGAACGGTGCTTTTCATCATCATTTCACATTTTTTTCACTGGTGCTTTTCTCGGTGTTCAAGAGCTTTGGCATCATCTCTCCTACTTCGGCATGCCATGATTTGAGCCCAAACAGGCCAAAGTGACGAGCTTCATGGGGATGTCCACAAAAATCCCACGACCGAAATTTGGTGTCCTGGGTGCAGAGCTGGGTGGCGAGCTTGCGTAGCGTTTCTCCACACAGGATGGCAAGAACGGTCCCCTTCAGGAACGACTGGGAGTCGTCCCACCCCATGGAGAGACTATGGGACTGGAATAGGCCGCCCCAGAGTCAGACCCCCACCACCCCTGGCCTGATCGGTAAATCTGCAGATGTCGTTGCTTGCAACTTCGTCTTGGGAACTCAGTGGCTTAGTCGTGGCTTCGCCTGGGCAAAGGGGCGTAGCTACGTACGTGGCCGTGGCGAGGCCTGGTACACTTCCTGACTTACCAGCAGAGGTTGAAGAACCCTATAGGCTATCCTATAGGTACCCCAGTAGGGTCCTATAAGGTCACTTAACCTCTGTTGGTACTGATAGTCCCGAAAAGAAGGGTCCTGCGTTCCGTAATACGGTTCCAGGGTGAACACGTTGGCCCATGGGATGTGTTGATGTGTTGGTGGGAGGAACTCCACGAAACCTGACTGACATCGTAAAGGGAATGAAAGCCCGGATGACTCATCTAGTCACTCTAGTCCTTTGAAATCGAAGCGTTCCCTGCGTTCTCCACGTTGGCCCATTGTTTAATATCAGGGAGTGTACTTGGTGACGCTTTGCTGGCAGAAGGTCACGAGATGTCATGGTGATTTTTGGATGCTTTGAATGTCCAATCAACTGTGATCCGGGTTTTGTGGGCCACAGCCTGATTTTTGGCCAGTCGACCCTTTTGCTACAGTATTACGCCATTTGGTCCATCCAATTTCTATTATTATATAGACATCCACTTGATGGAAAGGGGAAGTTTTCCTCACTGGGCTCAAGAAGCCTTGAATAGCATACTCGTACCCTCCCTGCAATGTTCTGAAGTGGACACCCCTCCTCAAGGGGTAGAGGTTTTTGTTCACCTTCCAAGGGCTTCTGGCCGTCCACTTCCAGAATTGCAACCGGATCCGTGGTCGTAGCGTACCTCCAGTACGGTGCTGTGTTCAGCACTTGTTAATGTCTCCGGTTTGAAGGGTCCGGATCCCCAGAGGATCGGGAAGAGGCTGAGGGTCTTGGTCCGAGTGGCTCTGAAGAGCCGCGGCTCCGGACTGAGGATGGCAGCACACACCTGGCCACCTTGGGAAGCCTCGCCACTGGGCGACGTTAGGAACTGACCATTCGATCCCCCCCCCCCACCACTTTGTGAGAAGGTGTGATGTGTGCGGACTCGTGCGGACCCCCCGAAAAGAGCTGGACATGGAAGGTCGTCGCCACATTGAGTTGGAAGTAAGGCAAGCTTTCTCCTTGTGTTGATTCACGACTTCCTCAGCTCGTCTGACAATGACAGGTCGCCTCCCACCACAAATTCACCACCGGTCCAGTCGGTTCAGCCTACTTGCAACGCTTGAGGATTGGAACGCGGTGGCCTTAGGAGAGAAGACCATCGACTTGGAAGTCTCCCTCTTGGTGAAGCATCTCGGATGAGAGATGCTCCATCATGCTGTTGCCACCCAACGTTTTGGGGTGTCCACTTGTTAGTTGCAGAATGTTGCAGATGTTGAACTAACAAGGGGCTGCAGTTGCAGAGCTTCCCTTGTTGGGGTGTCCCCTTGATGTTGCGGATGCGTTTATACAATTGCACGGTTTCTTTTTTCCAGAAGCTCTATGACCCCAAGGGTCACTGAACTGAAGCTAGTTCAAGCAGAGAAACCTGCTGTCCCAGCGACACTCAGACCTGACACGTTCTTGTATAGTTTCATCTCTTTTCTGGAGTCTTCATGATGCAGATATTATATCATGGTTCATTCAACACATCAAGTCATTCCCCCTTTTGGATCTTTTGTGGGACATCGGCCTTCTAAACTGTGCTTTCACCGTTTCGATCCTGTTTCATCCTTTGAGCTCCCAGAGCTGCCATCAGCGCTCCCCCCCTGGTTCCCGCCTCAGCGCTCCCTCCCTCTCGCCCGTCGTCCCCGTGGACTTAGGGCATCCGACCCTTCGGATCCGCCCAGCGTCCACACGATCAAAGCCAAGAGCAGCGGCCGGTCCTTTGCCGGACGCTTCGTGCCCAAAGAGGAGGAGGCGCTGAGGGTCGGTCACCCGGGCCGCACCGGCCAAACGGGGGCGGAAAAGAAAAAGCGTTTGGCCACCCCCTTGGGTTTGGGCGACTTCTACAATAAGGCTCAGTAAGGCTCAGTTGCTCAAGTGAGCGCTTCAAGGATCAGTTTTGGGATGAACCATCATTGAACCCTTGAGCTTGGCGTGTTTCGCCTGTCAAGTCGGCTGAGAGGATGCAGACTTGTCTCCGTCACGGACTCTTTTCCGCCAGGCGCTGCTGGCACTGGCGGAAGGTGGGCAGGGAGAGTGGGCGAAGGGCTGGATGACACAGAATGACATCCAATGCACCACCACCCAGGCACGACTAATGGGACTGGCACATTTATCGGTCAGTTGGGGTGATGCATAGCACGAAACACGGCGGCCACGGGCGAGCTGGTCTTGCTGGTCTTGCCATAAAGACAGCAGTCTTTTGGGAGATACTGTTAACTAAATAAGACAAAGACCCCTGATTCCAGGACCAGAAGCCACATGATTCATGATCGAATGAAGATCCCAGCATTCCCCAAAACATCCATTCCCAAACGCATCAAAACACGGAAAGCACTTTGACGGCGCTGTCAAGAACACTCCGCCTCGACGCAGCGGAACGAAGAGAACGAACGAACGGGAATGGAATGGCACTGGCACTGGC